ATGCAGAGCCCCAGATGCAGGAGCCCGTGATGCCAGATTTTGCCCACCGTGAGCAAGCACTTGCAGTTCCAGAGTTTGTGCCGCCAGAATCCGTCATGCACATGCCTGGCGCGCCATACGCGTGCGCCACCTACATGGCCGTGCCCCACCAGCCCTCGCACATGTGGACAGCACCCACAGATGGTATTCGTGGGGACCTTCCATCCCTTGGATCCGCTTCCCATGGCACCGGACTTTGCAAGCCATGTGCCTTCCACCACACAAAGGGTTGCCAGTGCGGAGTGAATTGCACATTTTGTCACTTGTGCCTTCCGGGAGAGAAGAAGCGCCGGCAGAAGGAGAAGCAAGCCGTGGCCCGAGCGGCTTGGCCTTAAATGCATGCGTGTCCTGTGACGGCATCCCTGTTCTTGCGAAGCATGTCGGACCAGTGTATGCAGGATCTGGACATGGTGAAAGCGTGTTCCCTGCAGCCGAGGCTAAAACCGCATTCGGGCGTTGAGTGATGAAGTGAGACCCAATGACAAGGTCAACAAACTAAGAGATGGTTTGATGGAGGTGCCATTCTGCAGAAGCATTGTAAGCCATGACCATGTATCTACAGGGTCTTGGAACTTGCTGCATCCGCATTATGTGAAGATCAATTGTTTGATGTGTGATAACATCCCACAGCGAGAACCCTCATCAAGGTTCTTCTGAAGGTGTCTGTCTTTCAGTTACGTCAATCGGGTGTTGTTGCAAGTTTTATGAGAAGGCGCCCATCATATATGCGTCATTATACTGTACGTCGTCTGAAAAAGCTGGGTGGTTGTCGATTGGAGCAAAGCTGATTTAGCCATTGTTCTTTTGTGTATCGCTGGTCTTAAACTTGAGGGGATTCCGATTTTAAATACAGATGCAAGGGAAAAAGCCCTGAAAAAAACGTTTGGGGGGACTGCCACCTCATGATGTAGTGCCACCTCCGAAATTCTCAGTGTGATTTCGCCTCATGTAATTGGGAATTCTGGGGACGGAAAAAAAAGCAAGTTTTGCCGACCCAAAGCGACCCTGTGACCCAGCATGCCAAAATGATGCTAATGACAGATTCTGGAGAGTCCAGTATCTCTGAATCTGAAAGTCTCACAGTACGCAGTCCGAAGCAAGATTCACCAGCAGCTTAACCGACTTGATGCGGCCAATCAGATGGAATTCTGCACTTGTAAAAACATGGCTCCTTCAGACCTATGGGCAACTTTTGTCCATATCCGCTGCTACACTCCTGATTTGTCGGTTTAGAAGCTGCTCGGCAGCTAGAGGACGTCCACGCTTTCAGGCTTGCAGATGTGTTGAGAGGCTTCATCGGAGTGAAATCAGGCGTGGCAAGTCTCGTAGGTTAGACGACATTCTGCACTTGGTCGAATGCACCCTGAGCTGGCCAGCTGCAATCACGCACGCAAGCTGAATCCCACCAAACTTCTGCAACGAGACGATTGGACAGCGTTTGGAGTCATTAGTCATTATGTATGGATAGGAGACTGAGCACAGCGGGCTGTCACAATCCCGTGCAATCAAACTCTAAGATTCTCTCCTCTGTGGGCGTTAATTGAAGACTTGTGCAGCTGCATAAGCTGGAATGCGTTGTCCTGAGCCATGTTTCGCGATCACTTACCCAAAGAACCAGAGCACCCCGGCCACGAAGTAGCAGAGCAGGGGTGCATTCAGCATCCGATGCTGTTATGAGGGTCTTGATGCTGGATTTCAGGATGCCCAAGATGTCACGAACAGTACCAACACAGGACTAGGATGAAAAGACAACTCCAGCATCCGGTCCCTGCAAGCAATGCGAGCCCGGGGCATTAGCAGCCACCGACAGGCCTCTTGTCAGGTGCCAAAGAAGCAAGCACCGACTGAGCATAGTCTTCTGATACAAGTTTGTTTGTGGACCGCATGGTACCTCAGTGCTTATTCCTTGCATGTAATTTGACGCTATTCGCTCGTACTTGTGACATGCTAGCACCTGTGCAAGGGGATGGTGTCGGGAGCCTTCGGGTCGTGGTTGCTGACGGGCGCTCTGGGGAAGGTAGTTTGTATCATGGCGTTCGTGTAGGACAGAGTTCGAAGCAGTAGCAAAGGCTGCAGTAAAAGTGCAATGGAATCGGAACCAACAGACACCGATGTCTCTGAGCCAGACGCTGAAGAAGGTTCAAGAGCAATGCCCGCCAGCAACTGAATAGGCAATTTGAAGCGTACAGGTAGGTAGTTGATCCGAGGCACCAATCCCACATCCCAAACGCCAGCCTCGGTTTGTGAGAAGTGGCATACATGTTGACTAGCGATTCTTTGCCTTGTTTTCAGCAAATTCTGCTCAGCCGCGTTTTGGGATCATTTGTATGCTGCTTTAGTGTCAACTGCACCAGATGCGACATGAAGTTGCCTCAGCTCCCACTGTTCGGTTGGCAGTTGGTTGAAGAATTTGAGGCTTGCATAATGACGAGCATCTCCCGCCAAATGATTGCGTAGCAGATGGAGGCAACTACAGTTCTTAGGGTATCAGAAGGCCCGGCAGCAGTTCCACTTGCAAGTGCAAAGTCCAAGTTGCTTGCCTTCATCCCTTAAGTCGTTGAGGGCTTTGATTTGAAGATTGCATTACCCACCAGGAAGCAGACTTGCCCAAGCACTCCGTATTTGCTGCCGGGCCTTGCTCTCATTGGTTATGTCGCCCAAAGAAGAGGCACACCACAGGATGGATAGGACGTTTCGTTTCGAGCACCAGTTGACCGCAGCAGGAAAAGCAAGCTCAGCTTCATTCATACCAGCTTTCGAGGCTGCCAGCACGTGCAGCCTCGCAATGAATGCCCGCCGCAGCACCAGCCAGACATCATCCTTTGCACCCTGTAGAGTCCTTTGTAGAGCCTTGCCCTGCAGAGATGATGTTCACGGCCGCCCCTACCATGCGCAGCCTGGCTGCACCCTGATGCATCTAACCTCATACCAAACGATATAGGCCTCACTTGATCCTGGGGCTGCAATCCCGCGGTCAAGGCCTTGGAAGCAGGGGCTTCTCGGCAAGCCCGGCCTCCACAAGGCACAGAGAGGGGGAAATATCTGTGAGTTATGTTGGTCAGCGTTTAGTCGGGCCAATACTGAAGCGGAGAATGGGGAAACTTGTGTTTTGTTGTTTGTTTTGGGGGCGTCTTTTTTTTTCTCCTATGGCGATGCGCCTTGATTCCGTAGACGCAGGCCAAGAACCAGGACAGAACAGCTGGTGTGGAGTAGGAGAGCGGGGAAGTCACACGTAGAGAAAGCAAGAAAGGAAGAAGAGAAGATTAGAAAGAAAGTCAGAAAGAGACCTTGGAAAAGAGAAAGAAAAGAAAGGAAGGAAAGAAAGACATAGTTATACAGAAAATTGTGTGATTGCGCAATATGCTTTGTTGGCTCCTGCAAGCAATGAACCAGCTAGGTGCGAAAGAAGCTTGCGGGCGTCCTGTATGCACTGCTGACTTGTACTGTGCAACACCCTGCGAGATAGCTGGAACCCTCGTGAATTTGTTTACTTTCACATCTTGCTTACGCATTATGCCTGTCGCCTTTCTTTGTAAAAACAGAAACAGGGCCCAACGCTATCCTCATCGGAGCACTTGAAAGGGACCGGGAACTCCTGGTCAATTGCCTTGTTTGTTGGTATGTGGGGGTTGTTCTACAGGTCATTGTAAAGAAGGGACCATTGGGAATACACTTCCTTAAGAGGGGATCCTAACCAAACAGGGAACCTACACTATGGCCATTTCGGGGACAGGTATTTTGAACAACTACCATGTTTAGACCTCTTCATTGTCATCATTGTGACTGTTAAGCCGTGCAGTAGCCCCAGTTTCACACGTACAGACCCGAACAGCCCAGAGTCGGCCTGTAGGTCTGGGGTGTCCACCTCACGCTCCGAAGCAAAGCAAAGCAAAAATTGAAAGAAAGAGACAAAGCAAGAAAGATAGACAGACAGAGAGAAAGAAGGACACCAATAAAAAGGTAGCAATCATAGCCATCAGAGTAGCAATCATAGCATGCAGAGAAAGACAGCAAAATGTAGATGATGAACATAAAACAAGAGAGCAAGACGGAAGAAATAACACGCGAGAAAGACCTACACACTGTCCGACTGATGTTTCGTTTTGCTAGTAGCATATAACACCTAGGTTACTGTTAACGTTATTGCGATTACTGCTCCTATTACCGTTATCATTATTTGATTTTTCTCGTTATTGGAATTCATCCTACACAGTTTACCATTGTTCATCATCTCTCCTCATATTTCACACTTGCACATTTTCACAATCTTTCATCATGGTTCATTTGTTTTGCGGTTTTCATCATCTTGCATCATGTTTGTAATATGATTCTGATTCTCTTTGTGTGGTGTCATATCATTTTGTTTGATTTATCATGATGTTCCAAAATCTTACGTCATGCATTATATATCAGCTAGGTTCAATCGTTTTCACCCCCTTCGAGCATTGCTCATCGTGCTTCATCGTTGTTGACAACTTTCATCATTTTACATGATTTGCATGGGGCCGCACGCCTTAAACAACAATAGCAATCATAGAAAGTAAACAAAGGCGGCAACACGTGAATGAGGACAATAAAGCAAGAAAGCAGGAAGGATGAAAAACGGCATGACTTCCCTTCATTTTCCTTCGTCTTGCAACCCGCAATGCCCCTCTCCCTCATCCAGAACCATCCCCCACCCATGACCCGTCCCCCCCAAAAAACAAAACCAACAACCAACAAATGCACCAAATACTCTGCACACTGGAGGAAGAGTTGAAATCCAGAATTAGCCCGAGTAATCCGGCGTGGTGTTTGGGTGTTGTACTTCCAGAAGAAACATTTGAGTTGCTCTTGTTCTGGCGTGCTTTGCATGTTTTGTCTTTGTTCAAGTGGCATGATTCATGGAAAGCCGCATCCAGTGAAAATACTGAGTTGGCAGGGCAGGCAGCAGCTCTCCGCCTGCGCCAACCGCCTTCTACATGCCGTGGCTTGGCCAGAAGGACTCAGCCTCTTGGGCTCGGTGCACGAAGGTTGTGAAGAAGTGCTCGCTGCCCTGTAGCTCGATAGGCTAGACTGCCAACAGTTGCTTCCGAAGTAGCCCGGGAGATCAAGCAGCCCAGGTATCAGCCAACTGCGCGCAGCAAGTGCCATACGCACTACCCAGAGGAGGGCTCACCTTGCTCTTCGCCGTCCCTGGTCAGCGTAGCGGGGGATGATATGCTCACCACGCGGCCTCTGCAGCCCGCAGCTCGCATCAGCCCGCCTCCTGGCCTCAAACACCTGGGCTCCCCAGCCCCATCGGAAGCTGAAGCACGTCCGTGGTCGATGCCGGAGCCACTCCTTCCCAGCCCCCGCTACGCTTATTTGCCTCAGGTGGTCCGAGGCCATCCCACCACCCCCAAGTTGGCGGACAGTGCCACCGCCTCCCCCAGTGCCGCCAGAGATCATGATGCCAGAGCCGTTTACCACTCCACCTCCAAGTGAGGAGCCCTGCTTGCGCTTAGCACTCTCGGAGTGCCTGCTCCACGAGAACATTATTCCGGCCGTGCACCAGGACGACTGCAAGCCGTGCGCTTTTTTCCACACGAAAGGATGCCCCTAGCCTGCCATAGTCCTGTTGCAGCCAGTGAACGTTAAGCATGGCTCCTTAAGCTGCTTGAATTGCCGCACGAAGGTCGAACTGGCAGCAGTTGTGCCTTCTGCCACATTTGTCCTCCTGGGGCCTCTTGGCTGGTCACAGGTCAGCTTTACAGCATGTGAGGGTTGTTCTAGAGGCACTTCCTCAAAAGGGTATCCTAACCAAAAAGGAAACTTACCTCATGGTCATTTGTTGGGCAGGTATTTTGAACAACAACCATATAGGAAGCAACTACAGTATGCCCGTTGCCGCCTAACCCTCGTCCGTGGATTCATGGGTGCTGAACATGTGGTGCGTAATTCCTGCAACCGAAGTAGCAACACATATCTACAGTGCAGACGCAAATTTCATCGCAAGGCCTCGCAAATAACAGCAGAAGCAGAACTCCTTGAACAAATCCGTAAGTCTGGCCCAATTTGGCAACTGGCGCTACCTGCACTTCCACAAGGTTTCTGGAACCTCATAATGCTTACGAAGCCAGCTAGGAATTTTATGCTGGCGCTCTCACCTTGAGTGCAACTCTGCGGAGCACTATCTCAAATCAAAGTGGGGAGAAAGCCTTGGAGAGTCCTAATAGGTCCTTTGTGGCAAGCATGCAGAGTATAGCATGGATGACTTGGGGGATGTTTGCTACAAGGAGAAGAAGCGCCGGCAGAAGTTGCGTAGGGCAGCCTTCCAACGGAGCGGTGAGCCTGGGGACTAAGATCATTGATTGCGGGGTCCCATGGGGCTGTTCAGGATGTAAAGTCTAGCACAGCGAGGGGTTTGTCACAACTGCCAAAATTTTGCATGGTATGTGCTTATTCACGGGGATCCGTTGTCTTATGCACACATGGCTTCAAGAAAGTTTTGAGGCATTCTAGAGAAGAGCGAGGACATGGATTTCCGAAAGGCCGTCATATTGCGCAGGACACAAGTTGAGGATTGTAAGCGAATCTGTAAGGTTTCAGCGAGCCTTTTTGCGTTGTTTGGGGCATTTCAATCAACAACCGGTACGGACTTTCAAAAGGTGTTCGGTGAGAGTACATGGATTTGCACCATGCAGGAGTGTCCCAAGACGTTGTCTCGGTCACAGATGTGTTAAATGAAATGCATAGCCACGAGTTCGGCACACTAGCTGCAACTATTCTTCATGAACCCATGCACTTGTAAATACCTAAACGCAAGGAGGGGAAGTGGAAGTGAGTAGACCCGGGCAAGAAGTTCCGGAGAACGGAGGGGTTAGGTATAGTGTAGTTAAGATCTGGCGAATTGGGTTTCAGCTCGGGGTGCAGCCTCTACTCCCTCCACGTGCGCTGAGGGCCGAATTGAGCGGACCGACTTGCAACTGGTGAATCGCATCGCAAGGATGTGGTGACAGCCTGCCTGCGGGTTGGGATCGAACCACGATAATAGGCATGTGGGGCAGCGAGGCAGGTACCACCGCACCCGAAGCTTTGCATTAGATGCTTGATGAACTGCTGAATTCGTGCCTGCTTGTGTTCGTGTCTGGGATCTCCTGTTTCCAGATCTCGGAGATGCGAAGGTGCAGGAGCTAAACGCTTGGGTTGGAGCGAGTAGCTTGAGCTAGTCTCATGCTCCAAAGGATGCAGCTTATCGAGAGCATTGCTACGCTTACAGGCCATCAATGCACTTGTATATCAGCTTTTCCTTCAGTAAAATTCCGATATTGAAGCCAGAGAGCAGTTGACGGAGGAACCTCCTTCACAAGGTACAGAGGTGACATGGCAACAGTGCAGGAAGGGCGGATAGTGGAAGTTCAATCAATTGGTTAGTTCCCTCAGCTTAAATCTGCGAACCTTTTTGAAGCTAGGAAAACTGAAAACGTGCACCCAAAAGGCGCAGCTGGGCAGTAAAATTTGCCCAACTTCAAAGCACAGATGGCGTGCTGCCACCAAGACATCATTGCGGAATCCTTCTTCTGCCGAGTGAGCGTGTGCTCCTGCTACCGCAGAGTCTCTCCGATGCCATCAGTTTATTACTCTTTAACAAGTTTGCCGGATGTTGCTGGAGCAAAGTTTGGTGCGTTCTTTTTGCAGCCTCTTGCCAACCAGCCATCGCATTTTTGTAGCTTGATTCTTGTAGCTCGGCCTTCAGTGCAGCTAGGCGCGGCATCGTTCTGAGCACTGGCGATTCTTCGCACTTATGGAGAATTGATTTCTATCTTTCCTCGTGCAGGTATTCCCTTTTCAGCGCTTTAATTTTGACATTATACAGTGTGTGGAAAGTGGGTGTTGTAAATGACTGAGCGGGAGCTACTGTGTGTGTTGTGGACCTCACCCCTCAACCTGACTAGCCGGCCCATTCGGTGTACAAGCCAGCAGCCATGTGCTCAGAGCGGTCACGCCGCTGCTAGAGAGAGGCTACACTTACACAATTCATGCATGATCTGCTTAGCTAGAGAGTGCACGACAAGAGAGAACAGCTACCAGCCTCGTAGGTGGAAGTCCGCTCGAGACACCCAGCCGCAGGGAAAGGGACCTTTGTGAGGACCTTGTCGTTGCATCTCTGCGAGTTGGCGGTGAGCAACGCCCACTCCATCCCAAAAGCAATGCCACAACAATCTTCATAAAAGGCATTGCATAATGTCATGTCATTCTGCATGGGTTAATATGGTCAGGATCCCCCAGGCTTAGGGCCGCCTCTGCTGCAGCTCTCCAGAGGGATTCGTGATGGAAGGGCAGCTGCACATTGTCCTCTTTCTTCATGACAGGTTGATGATAGGCTACCCTGGCTAAGCCAGTCATTAGCTAGATGTATTGAGGCACGTTTGTTGATTTAGAGTTTCTCCGAGTGACGAACAGTGCAACAGTCAATAGATACTTTACGCCCGGCCTCACTCAGTTTGTGAGGGTCCTTGATCAAAATCACTGCCGTGCCCTGTTCATATCCCGGCAGCATCGAAGAAGATCGCGCCACTGAGACCCGGCCTTTTCGAGCAGTGCGTTTCTAAAGGTGTTGGACGCGAAGCCCACAGGAAGATCACGAGGTCATTTGGGATGTTTCGAAGCCATGCCTAACGCGCTGCTTCTGTGCAAATTTCCAAATTTCTTTCACCCTTAACTAAGGAGCCTGCGGAGATTGCATGCTTCCTCTGCCCAATCCACTTCATGGCAGTCAAGCTGATGATGCTAGCCTGGCTGCTTGCAAGGGGCATGCAACTTCTATAGCTCTGCCTTGCACAGGCTGAATTTGCATTTGCGCTGAATCCTTGGAAGAGAAAACACTGCATCCTGCTGCTGAAATCCGCGTTGCGCTGCCAAAATCGTGGAAGTCTAGCAGGAAAGGAGCATCAACCTTCTGCTGAGCAGAATCATCAGTAAATGTCTCCGACCTCACCATTCTGAGCAAGCCTTCATAACTATTTGCAGAATATGCCTAACTTTGGCTGCACATATCCCGGGTGGCGCGCTCCTCACCCTCAGTTATGATTCCCGCGGCTCTTTTTCAAGAAGCCAACCGTCTAGCTGTAGCAGATTTCAACTCCCACTCCTTACAGGCAGGCAACTTCGACGCAGATAAAATCTGGCCGGACGTTTAAATTAGCTACATACCTGGGAGCTTTCCAGGCAAAGTAGCAAGGATGAACATTTGCGGTCAAGAGGACTCGGCAAGGGGTGTGGTAGAAAAGGAGAACCGCGGTAAATAGAAGTGTCTGTTTAGATGTTCTTGAATGCTTTGCGCTACAGGCCTCTAGCATGCTGCAGTCCCTCCTCGTCATTTGAAACTCCGCCTGGAAAGATTGAAGTCGATGCAAGTATTACTATGTTAATGTCCTTACTCATAGTAAATCTAGTACTCTTACTGCTATTATACTCTTATTGTTAATAGCCTCCATAATGACTATGGCGGTACACAGATCGGCTGTTCCCCTGTTTGGACATGTTGCACCATCAGGCTGGCAGCTATGCTCCGGAAAGTGTATCCCGGACAGATCATAGGCATTTTTAGTCACGAAGGCTGAATTGGGGCCCCTACAGGCTTACGGTGAAGGAACCCAGTGTGAGCGATTCTGTTTGAAAACGTTTTCAGTTCATGGCCGGGATTACTTTTCTTTTGTGTCCAAGCTAATCGGTGGCCTGGAACTGGTCTCGATGCTTGAGTGCTTGAGGCGCTGGCTCAGGAGCCAGAGCCAACAACATGCAGAAATCGTTGCCTCCGACTGGAATTGACAAAGCTTCTCCTTGTTCAAGCTAAGGTATTTGGCTGGCGGGCACGTGACGCCGTTCGTGGGTAAAGGCCAGAGACGGACTTCAGACACGCGTGTGTGGAGGGCGAAAGGTTTGGGCTCTTCCATTACAAGCGCGGCCAAAACTGCCATGCCATTCCCAAAGTTTCCCTGTCCAGGAAACCCAAATTTTCAGAAGGGCCTGAAGGGCCTGAAAGAGTTGCTCGGCTTGGAACCAGCGAGAGCAACGGAGTGACTTCCAGATGCATCAAAAGGAGAAGGGTGGGGTCAGGGGGTCCCAGCGCGGAGGCAGGCCGAAAGCTACTTGCACTGTAACCTGTAGCTTGCATACTAAGAGGACATGACACAAAAAGCGACGTGATTTTTGCTGAGGTATTTTGTTGAGTCGATCCAGGGCGCTTTCCGGCAAACTGGTGCAAAGGCAGAAGCGATCGACCGAATTTATGTCTCTGGTCTCAATAGGAACGCATCTCCCTGCCTTGATCAATCGAGCCTTAAACCACCGTAACATCTTGAACTCCTCAGGCCCTAAACTTTGGTAATTTACGGTACCTCCATTTGCTTTAAAAGAAGGATGTGCATAGTTTGTCTCGCTATTCCTGGCTGCGCCGGTACTTCCTTGCATACTCGAAGCCGCGAGTCATGCATGGCCATGTC